GGGGGGGTGGAAAAAAGAGGTGGGGGGGTGGAGAGGGGGCGGGGGGAGGAGAGGGAGCGGGGGGGAGGAGAGAGGGGAGGAATAAGGGGGGCAGGTGGACGGTTAAGAAGGGTTAAAGGCGTTGGAAAGGGGGTGGGGGTGGGAGTGAAGTAGATCCCACAATCTCATGTGGGCGAGGTGGGTATGATCTCCGTATTGACAGCACCACGGCCATTGGGTGACATGTCTGTCCATCAGAATAAAATAGGGCAAGGACATGAACCCCGCCCTTTCCGGGAAAGAAAACCCACATTTGACCAAAAAAGATCTCCCTTTTTCCTTCAAAATGTTCACCCATCATCAACAGGTTCCCTCACAAAAACATAAAACGATCTCTAATAAGGCGAAGAAAGATGGGGGAGTGACTGAAAATAAAGATTTAATTGGGGTTACCTGGTGACGTCGCCCTTACCTGGCGCTCAGGTGAGCGCGAGCCGTAAAGAAGCGGAGATTATTTCTATTTCATTCTCATATCCTATAGTCACATATTTAACCAACACAATTAGCACCTACCATATCGACGGTCTGCAATCTTTTCTTCCTTTTTTTCCCCCCCCCAACCCCCCTGTGCGGCAGCAGCCGTCGTTGCAAACTTGCCCACCCTGCTTGCTTCTGTCGCCGGATCCGTCACTCAGCCATCAGCCCGGAGAAGGCAGGACAAGCCAACGGCAACTGCCGTCACCCCGCCCACGGCCCAGGACTTCGGCACCTTCCGGCAATGTTCGGCGCCTTCCTCCCAGTCCCGCCCCCTCCATACATCAACAGGCGGGCATTGTCTCGTGGGTGGGGGGGAAGAGATGCATTACGTCATAAGGAGAGGCTGGCTGTTGCACCTCCGGTATCACCGGTCACGCTCGTCACTTTCCGCTCGGTACCGCCCCCACCTCACAACACATCAACAGAGATGGGCGGAGAAAGGGGATGAGCATGCGTCACGTCAAAAGGGGAGGTTTACGGACGCGCTTCGGGTATTTACGGACGCGCTCGGCACTTTCGGCACAACTCCCCGCCTATCAACATGGAGACGGGCAGGACAATGTCGGGGGATGCGCATGAATCATAATGGGTGCCCCGGGATCTCGAATATTTCGGCCACACTTGGCATTTTCCTCTAAGCTGTACCCCCTCCAACTTCAACGCAGGCAGGAGAGGGTCGGTGATACGCATGCGTAGTAGTGTGCACTTCGGGTATTTCCGACCATGCTCGGCATTTTCCGCCCATCCACGCCCCCGCGAACGATTGCTCCATCTGGGGAACGACTGGAGAAGAGCATGCATTATACGGAACAAAAACAAAGTTGCTGGAAAAGCTCAGCAGGTCTGGCAGCATCTGTGAAGGAGAAAACAGTTTCGGGTCCGATGACCCTTCCTCAGAACGTTATACGGAGCCGTTCACAGCGGCACTTGATTTCGGCTCTTTCCGGCCACGGTCGTCAATTTCCGCTTACCCGTCATTTAAGTGGGCGGCTTAGTGATGCGCATGCGTCATAATGGAGACTTGCGGCTGTACTCGGAAACATCGGGTTTTTCCGATCACATTCGGCAGTTTCCGCCCCGCTCTCCCCACCTCCTTTAAGAACCTAACCTCCTCAAAGCCGGCCGGAGTTACGCATGCTTCATAATGAGCGGCTCACGGAGCCGATCCATGAACTCGGGTGTTTCCGGCGGTACTCGGTACCTTCCGTTCAGATTCGTCCCTCAGTCCCCGAAGGAAAATTGTCCATCTCCTCCGCAGCATCTGCTCCCAGGATGAGGCATTCCACTCCCCTACATCTCAGATGTCCTTGTTTTTCAAGGACCGCAACTCCTCCCCCCCCAGTGGTCAAGAACGCCCTCAACCATGTCTCCCGCATTTCCCGCAACTCATCCCTCACACCCCGTCCCCGCAATAACAACCAAAACAGAATCCCCCTCATCCTCACGTACCACCCCACCAACCTCCGGATCCAACGCATCATCCTCCGACACTTCCGCCATCTGCAATCCGACCCCACCACCAAAGACATCTTTCCCTCCCCACCCTTATCTGCTTTCAGGAGGGACCACTCTCTCCATGACTCCCTTGTCCGCTCCACACTCCCCACCAGCCCCACCACACCCGGCACTTTTCCCTGCAACCGCAGGAAGTGCTACACCTGCCCCCACACCTCCTCCCTCACCCCCATCCCAGGCCCCAAGAAGACTTTCCACACCAAGCAAATGTTCACCTGCACATCTGCCAATGTGGTATACTGCATCCGCTGTACCCGTTGTGGCCTCCTCTACATCGGGGAAACCAAGCAGAGGCTCGGGGACCGCTTTGCAGAACACCTACGCTCGGTTCGCAATAAACAACTGCACCTCCCAGTCGCGCACCATTTCAACTCCCCCTCCCATTCCTCAGACGACATGTCCATCCTGGGCCTCCTGCAGTGCCACAACGATGCCACCCGAAGGTTGCAGGATCAGCAACTCATATTCCGCTTGGGAACCCTGCAGCCCAATGGTATCAATGTGGATTTCACAAGCTTCAAAATCTCCCCTCCCCCTACCGCATCCCAAAACCAGCCCAGCTCGTCCCCGCCTCCCTAACCTGTTCTTCCTCCCACCTATCCCCTCCTCCCACCTCAAGCTGCACCCCCATTTCCTCCCTACTAACCTCATCCCGCCCCCTTGACCTGTCCGTCCTCCCTGGACTGACCTATCTCCTCCCTACCTCCCCACCTACACTCACCTTTACTGGCTCCATCCCCGCCTCTTTGACCTGTCTGTTTCCTCTCCACCTATCTTCTCCTCTATCCATCTTCTATCTGCCTCCCCCTCTCTCCCTATTTATTTCAGAACCCCCTTCCCCTCCCCCATTTCTGATGAAGGGTCTAGGCCCGAAACGTCAGCCTTCCTGCTCCTATGATGCTGCTTGGCCTGCTGTGTTCATCCAGCTCTACACCTTGTTATCTCAGAAAATTGCCACATATTTTTTCGATCTTTCTTCCCTGTTTGCATCTTGCTTTGTCTTATTTCCTTTCCCGAAGGCGCTGGACTGTTTTCCAACTACGAGGCCGGTCTCTTAAAGGGACAGGGTCAGAAATCACAGACCAATAGGTTCAGTTGAAAACACGAACTTTTGGAGGTGCTGTTCTTTTTTCAGATATTAGTGAGAGAGGTGGTATCAGACACAGAATTTAACTGATGAGGATGTATTAAACAAACCTAATATGCTGTTAAATCTTCAAATCAGAAGGTTTTAGTTGATTAATATGTATATGTAAAACTCCAAATTCCTTTCAAGTCACTGCCCTGAGAGAACTAAAGGTTTTAATAGTGGAAAGAAGAGGTGGCAGTTTAGGTCAGACAATGTATGTTAGGTGTGACCTTGTTTAGAATCTGTTTGTGTTCTGGTTTGAAGTCAGACTGGTTTTATTTCCAAAGTAGGAATTTATAAAATGCCACCCTAACATGCATTGTCTGACCTAAAATGTCACCTCTTCTTTACACTGATAAAACCTTTAGTTCTCTCACAACAGTGACTTGAAAGGAATTTGGGGATTTACATATACATATTAAAACCTTCAGACTGATTAAAGATTTAACACCATCTTGGGTTTGTTTAATACATCCTCATCAGTGGTGTGACTCCTTTTTACTTGTAGATTCTATGTCAGATACTACCTCTCTAACTAACTCCTGAAAAAGGAGTAAGCCCGAAACGTCAGCCTTCCTGCTCTTCTGATGCTGCTTGGCCTGCTGTGTTCATCCAGCTCTACACCTTGTTATCTCTGAAGCTCTGAAAGATTGTTTTCAAATAAACCTGTTGGGATATAACCTGGTGTCATGTGATTTCTGACCTTGTCCATTCCAGTCCAACACTGGCACCTCCGTAATTAAAGGGACAGAACCATGACAGAGAGACCAGCACTTAAAAGAAAATGTCCCTTACCTTATTCCTTGGTAAGATGAGGTATAATGTTTTCCATGCTCATCCACTCTCAGCTGTGCAGGGTGAGCCGGGCTCTGACTTCAATCATGTACGGTCAACCTGGCATTGACCATCAGTCTAGTGTGGTCAACCCAATGTTGACACTCAGTCCAGTGCAGTCATTGAGATGTACAGCATGGAAGCAGACCCTTTGGTCCAACTTGTCCATGCCAAACAGGTATCCCAATCTGACCAACTCCCATTTACCAGCATTTGGCCCATATCCCTCTCAACCCTTCCTATTCAAGTACCTTTCGAGATGCCTTTTAAATGTTGTAATTGTACCACCACTTCCTCTGGTGGCTTATTCTATACACATGCCACCCTCTGTGTGCAAAAATTACCCCTTGGGTCCTTTTTAAATCTTTCCCCTCGCACTTCAAACCTATGTCCTATAGTTTCGGACTCCCCCATTCTAGGGCAAAGAGCTTGACTAATCACCCGATCCATGCCCCTCATGATTTTATAAACCTCTTTCAGGACACCCCTGAACCTCCTGCACTCCAGGGAATAAAAGACCTAGCCCATTCAGCCTCTCCTGATAACTCAAGCCCTCCACTCCCGCCAACATCCTTGTAAATCTTTTCTGCACCCTCTCAAGTTTAACAATATCCTTCCTATAGGAGGGTGACCAGAATTGTATGCAATATTCTAAAGGTGACCTCACCAATGTCTTGTACAGTCGCAACATGACGTCCCAACTCCTATACTCAATGTTCTAACCAATGAAGACAAGCGTGCCAAATGCCTGACTACCTAAGACTCCCTCACCTTCAAGGAAATATGCAACCCAGCATTGACTCTCAGTCAAGTATGGTCAACCTGGCGTTGGCTCTCAGTCCAGTATGGTCTACCAGGCTCCAATTCTCAGTCCAGCACGGTCAAGAGGGCTCCGTCCAACACGGTCAACCTGGCATTGACTCTCTCCTGGGTACAGTTCACCCGGTCTTTACTTTCTCTGGTATAACGTTCATTCGGTATTGCCACTTTCTGTGTCATGGCTCCCCTGGCAATGATCCTTGCTGGTGTGGTTATCTTCCCCTGGCACTGAATCTCACTTGGGTGTGGTTCAGCGGCCACTGAATCACGCTGAGGTGCTCTGAATACTGTACCAAAGGATGTCAAGATGGTGGCATGTGGTTGGAGCAGGGCATCGAGGTATCCATCACCCAATGACGATTGGCATCCAGAATGCTGGCTCCCAAATTCCCACTTTGCATACTCAAAGGCATCGCTCTCTGCCTTGCCTGAGATCTGTGCATGTTTTTGGAGGGTTAGCGGAGAGAATTTGTTCCCAAAGGCTGAAGAATGAAGTCATTAAGCAGAAGAACCAGAGTGGGAGGAAGGCAAACTGCTTTTGCTGCGGCAAGATACTGTGATCCAAAATGCATTGCTAGAAAACAGAGCGGATGCGGATTCAACAGTAGCTTGGAAAGGGGAAATTTGATAAATATTTGTAATGGGATAAGGAAAGGGGACAAGGAAAGACGAAAGGGACTGGGATTTATTGGATAGCCCTTTCCAAAAGCTAGTGCAGGAACTATGGGCTGAATGGCACCCTCTGTTGTATCCTTCTGTGATTCAGTGACAGAGCCTGGGACCTGTTAAGTCCAATGTGGCTCAAGCCATTACTAGGTTAAGCTGCCAAACCATTGAAAAAGCTTCCAGATTCAAAATGAAAGCTGGAAAAACACATCAGGTCAGGCAACATCTGCTAATAGAAACAAGGAATTATGGTGTTTTTGGTGCCTACTCTTCATCAGAATAATTATCAGTAACCCCAGCCTTGGCACCAGACCCGTCAAAATAATGTAATTTACAACTTTGAGGGCAGTTCAGAAGACTTGCAGCTCCCATTTAAGTGGGTTTGTGTTTTCCGATGCCTCTCACATGTATCCCTGACAACAGCGTTGAGGAGTAGATTAACTCTGAGCGCATAAGTCCGATTGAGAAGTAAACAAGATGCACAAATAGAAATGGGAGGGAGCTTTAACAGCTTTGCGTGATGTTACCACGAGACCAAACCAGTCTTCTTTTTCCAAGATGGCGGTGGAGTAGCAGCATAATGTGTGGGCTGTTCAGCCAAGGATTTCGTCGACTCCGTCCGCTTCAGTTTTTTTCTTTCTATGCTTTTCCTTTAATGTTTCCATTTATTGTTGTACCTCACCTTCTTTTAATGACGTCAGTGGAATGTATCTTCTCCTGGCGCAGGCGCAGTGACAAGGTGGCTTCTAATGGCCCAGAATGGCAGTATAGGCCTGGCGGGGCAGCCTCCTGGTGTGGCAGTCTTGTCCCGTCGTGCGGTCTCGTCTTGGCATGGAGGTCCAGTTTTGGCATCTCGTTCTTGCTTCAAATTTGCCTTCCAGATCTTCCAATGGCCCAGTGTGGAGGTCTTATCTCGGCCTGGCGTGGTGGTCTTGGCCTGGTGTGGAAGTCTCGGCCTGGTGTGGAAGTCTCGGCCTGCTGTGGAGGTCCCAGCCCAGTGTGGAGGTCCCTGACCGGTGTGCTGCCATCTTGGCCCAGTGTGGAGGTCCCAGACCGGTGTGGTGCCATCTCGGCCCGGTGTGGAGGTCTCGGCCCAGTATGGTGGTCTCTCAGCCCAGTGTGGTGGTCTCTCGGCCTGGTGTGGAAGTCCTGTGCAATGGTCTTGGCCCGGTTCTGGGGAACAGGGTTCTGAGGAAGGGTCACCGGACCCCCAACGTTAACTTTGGTTTTCCTGCACGAATGATGCCAGACCGGCTGAGCTTTTCCAGCAACTTCTGCTTTTGTTCCTGATTTACAGCATCCCCAGTTCTTTCGGTTTTTAGATTGCTATTCCAATCTTGTTGAAAACACAGGAATAATACATAAGTATAGAATGGATGTTGGGATGTTATTGCAATTAAAACTGCTTTATGGGTGAATGTTTAGAATCCAATCCAACTCCCAACGTCTCCCACAACATGCTGGCCCTGGCAGGGGTGGGGATGTGTGGTTTTGCTTTGACGGACGTGTTTAATTTCCCAGTGATCCCAGCATTTGGTTTCAGGGTGGGGGCATTGTTTTAATTTTAGGTTCAGCACATGGTTGTCTTCAGGGGCAGAGAAAAAAAAACCTTTGTTTTTAATGACATGGATGATTGAATTTCCCAGAAACATTTGGTTCAGAGTGGAAACGTAACCGTGCTGTTTTCTGTTGTGGCCAGGATTGGTAATTGAGGTGGTTCGATTCATGCCTTACTGGGCCCAGGCGTCAATGTGGGACTGTAGCCAGATCTTCAGCCTTTCGTGGGCATCACTGGGTGGGCCAGAATTTGTTGCCCATCCGTAACTGCCCTTGAGGAAGCAGTGGTGAGCCCTGTTCCTGAACCGCTGCAGTCCATCTGGTTCCACTTGTCCTTGGCAAGTTAGCTGAATGAAAAGGACCGCTGGGCCGTGTCAGGTCAGAGTCAACCACATTGACAGGGCGTCTCAAACCACAAGTATGCCAGGCCTGGAAAGGCTGTCAGATTTTGTACCCTGGGAAGACGTTAGCGAGCTAGATGGGTGACCACTGATGATAGTTTCATGGTCGAGGTCACCAAAACCAGCATTCAATTCCAGAATGATTAATTAATTGAATCTAAAATTCCAATGACGGACCTGATGGGATCTTATCCCGTGCCCCCAGACCATTAGTGCGGGTCTCTACATTAACAGCCCAGTGACGTGGCACTGCACTTTCATGTCCTTACTTCCCAGCAAAAATTTTCGCTGAGAGAGAGCTGTTCAGAGAAAGTTGACTGGGATGATCCCGGGTATGGAGGGATTTGTCTTATGAGCAAAGGCTAAACAGGTTGGGACTCCGCTCACTGGAGTTTAGAAGAATGAGAGGTGATCTCATTGAAACATATTGGATTCTTAAGGGGCTTGACAGGGTCAATGCTGAGAGGATGTTTCCCCTCATGGGAGAGTCTGGGACCAGAGGGCACAGTCTCAGAATAAGGGGGTGCCAATTTAAGACTGAGACGATGAGGAATTTATTCTCTCAGAGGATTGAGTGTCTTTGGAACACCTTGCCACAAAGAGTTGTGGGGGCAGAGTCCTTGTGTATATTTAGGGCTGAGATGGATAGACTCTTGATCAGTCAGGGAACCATGGGTTACAGGGAAAAGGGCAGGAAAGCGGATGTGAGGAATGTTGGATCAGCCACGATCCTATTGAATGGTGGAGCAGGCTCAAGGGGCTGAATGGCCTACTCGTGCTCCTATTTCTTCTGGTCTTACGGATTTGTGAACAGTGAACAGCATCGACATTTCAAGCCTAGAGGCCCATATATTAAGTCTGCTCCTCTAAGGTTCGGGTTGAGACAGGACAGAGGAACCTTGCATTCTGCCCAAAGTTGGACCCACCAAAGTTAGACAAAAGCAAAATGCTGTGGAGGCTGGAAATCTGGAACACACATAGAAAATGCTGGAGAAACTCAGCAGGGCTGGGCACCATCTGTGGAAAGTGAAAAGCAGAGTTAATATTTTCATGACTTTTCTTCAGGACCCAAGTTAAAGATGCCTAACCTCTTATACTGCATGGCTCAGCTAAAATGATCTGATTGTAAGCTATTCTCAAATGTTATTTTTTTCCTGTACTTCTGGTTTTATTTACGTGCAGGATATTTATCACCTTATCACAGACTTCATTTCTGTCCAAGGTCACTGGCTCTGGTGGAAATGGCCATGTGAAACAGTGTGGTGAGCTCAGACTGCAAGCCCACATCCTTTCACTCACCGTTTCTATCAAACTGTCAGCTATCAGGTTTTCTCACGACTGTCATATAAGTCTTACTGATACCATAGCAACCCCACTGCTGGTCTTTCATTTTCCAGCTCACCCCTTAAAAATGTTACTACCATGTAGCCATAGGGTCACACAGCCTTAGAGTCAACAAACCCTTCAGCCCAACTCACCCATGCCGACCAGATATCCTAAGCTAATCTGGATCCATCTGCCAGCATTTGGCCCAGATCCCTCTAAACCCTTCCTATTCACGTACCCATCCAGATGCCTTTTAAATGTTGTAATTGTACCAGCCTCCACCACTTCCTCTGGCAGCTCATTCCATAATCTGCGCCACCCTGTGTGTGAAAAAGGTGCCGCTCGGGTCCTTTTTTAACACACGAGAGAGGGAAGGTTGTGACAACGGAACAAGTAAAGATGGGAAGGAGCTGAGGGGTTGGAGGCTGGATGGTATGATAAGCTTGAATGGGTTTGCGGGGTGGGGAACAGTCGGGGATTTTGACAATCAGATTGGAATTGTTAGATAGTTGCCATATGTCTGCCAGAGAGAATGGGAGCATTGAGCCAATAGGACTTATATAGGAAGGTTGTCATTATACTAGAAAGGGTACAGAAAATATTCACAAGGATGTTGCTGGGACTGGAGGGTTTGAGTTAAGGAGAGGCTGGGACTTTTTACCTTGGAGCCTTAGAGGTTGAGGGGTGACCTTATAGAGGTTTATATAATCATGTGGGGCATGGATAAGGTGAATAGCCAAGGTCTTTTTTGCCAGGATTGGGGAGTCTAAGCTGGAGGGTGTAGGTTTAAGGTGAGAGGAGAAAGATTTAAAAGGGACCACAGGGGCAACCTTTTCATGGAGGAGCGTGCGTGGAACGTGCTGCAAAAGGAAGTGGTAGAGGCTGGTACAATTACAACATTTAAAAGACATCTGGATGGGTGTATAAATAGGAAGGGTTTGGAGGGATATGGGTCAAATACAGGCAAATGGGACTAGATTAACTTAGGATATCTGTTCGGCATGGACGAGTTGGACCAAAGGGTCTGTTTCTGTGCTGTACAGCTCTATGACTCTATGACTCTAAATGTGCTTTTCTTTCAGAATAGTCCAGTGCTGCATTGACATTTGACGATTGTTCAAAGACATCTGACTGTCTCAGAGAAAAAGAAACATTCTCATCTCCCTTTTAAATCGGAAACACTTTGGTTTTAAATTGTAAACCCTTTGATTTTAAACTATGTCTGCTCGTTTTGGTCTCTGCCAGAAGGGGAATTATCATTTCAGTATATCCCCCCTCTCTCCACCCTCATTGCAAAGGGTTCAGAAAAGATTTAGGAGCATGTTGCCGGGAGTGGAGAGTTTGAGTTATAAGGAGAGACTGGATAGGCAGGGACTTTGCTCCCTGGAGCGTAAGAGGTTGGTGGGGCGGGGGAGGGGGTTGACCTTATAGACATTTATAAAATCATGAGGGGTATGGATAAGGTGAATGGTAGGTGTCTTTTTTCCATATGGTGGGGGATTTGAAAACTAGGGGTCATATTTTTAAGGTAA